GGATGTGGGTGGCACTTTGGGTTAAACCACAGAGCCTAGGACTTGCCAATCAGAAGGTCGGTGGTTCGAATCCCCGTGACGAGGTGAGCTCCCGTTGCTCGGTCCCTGCTCCTGCCAACCTAGCAGTTCGAAAGCACGTCAAAGTGCAAGTAGATAAATAGGTACCACTCTGGCAGGAAGGTAAACGGTGTTTCCATGTGCTGCTCTGGTTTGCCAGAAGTGTCTTAGTCATGCTGGCCACATGACCCGGAAGCTGTACGCCGGCTCCCTCGGCCAATAAAGAGAGATGAGCGCCGCAACCTCAGAGTTGGTCACGACTGGACCTAAAGGTCAGGGGTCCCTTTACCTTTACCCCATCACCATTGTACAATCTGGTTATTTTGTTGCTCTCATGGGTCATATAATGCGCCTGCCTGGCCAATGCGTGCCATGCCTCTTCTCATGTTTATTTCACTGGTGTTTCATTTGACAGTCTGAAGTTGTTCCTTTGTTACAAATGAGTAGGTGAGAATCCGCCTTCCCCCAGTAAAACAGTCCCATAACAACATGTTTTGAATCTGCTCCATGAAAAATGGGCCACCCTAATAAGACACATCAGGAAAGACAAGTCCGTTACAAGAGGTAATTATCATTGTTTTTGCACTGCAGTGAATGGACCCCTCCCCCCAAAAAAACTCCATGCTGTCCCAGATAAATACTTAGTAGCAGCAACAGCAGTGGTGATATGTCTTCTAACAAGTAATTAGTTTAACTGATGTGGGGTCACGGTAACCCCAACACTTCAGCAATTGTTTAAAGATTTATGTTTCACTGTTGGTTGCATAAGCCAGAAGAGTTGGAAGCTTGGTTTGTGGCTGAGCTGTGAAAGTTAGCAGGGCTTTTGTCAAAATCCACATAACAAAACAGGAAAGGAAAACCAAAGCGGGACTCTGCATGTAAAGGGATGTCGTGAAGGCACTCTCAGGGCAGTTCTATGTGTGTCTTCACAGAAGTAAGGCCCATTGCTGAGGGCTGCATTCTCTTGGGGGGGGTCAGAGCTCCTGCTGGCAAGTGGGCAGGGCTGAAGCAGTTCATAGCCTGAACTACATTCAGCATTGCAGGACAGACTGTCACCACACCTCACAAAGAGCGCCATTATGGTGATGCTTCCCTAGGCCATGTTGCATTCTATGACTATGTGTGTTGTTAGGATCAGGATTTAAAGTGCCATCTAAACAAGATACTATAACAATATCAAACACACACAGAGAATGTAGGCATATTTTAATATTTAATTCAGGGGTGAGACACGGTTCAAAATATATAGAGGAAAAGTAATGGAACACCCAAACTTCCTTTACTTCAAATAGGAACTGGGCTTCTCTGAGGCCCTGAAATGTTTAGAGTAAGTGTTTTTTGACTTTTATGCTTCCAATCTGTATCCAGGGCTGGAGCCATAACTTCACAAAGTGATGTTTCTGGCTTGGATCCTAGGAGACAAGAGCCAGAAATCTCACACGAAATGCTTGTTTTTATGAGGGTGCCAGGCTCTTTCAGAGCCCCAAGGGATTGAGAGCCGTTCGAATGAGCAGCTAGGGTTTTTGGATGCAGCTCTCAAAAATCAAACATGATCTCGGAACTGCTTTGGAGGAGCTGTTTTAAAGTGCAAGAAAACATTAATATCAATCTGATGGACAAAAATTATATTGAGTTAAGCATGGACATTATTTTGCCTCCCATCAGTTGGATTTTGCAGGCAGCAAGACGGCCTTTGGAGAATCCAGAACCAAGAGACCCCTCGCATAAATATTTAGAAAACACAATTAAACTGTTTTTAGACATTGATTTGTTTTTTGGGGGAAGAAGAGGAGATTCTCTCTGAAGAGTCTCTGATAAGATTTTGTATATTATTATACAACATTTTAGCCATTCCTACTCAGTCCTCTGGGCTTGTGTTGAGCTGCTGACCTCCCTTATATCCCAACTTCACTTCAGATTTGTTTGAACAAGATTTCCACCTGCACAACTGGCCCCTTTTAGTGCCCAGTGTAATGCACCCGTCCCCAAGGAGGCAGGTATTATAAATCACTATAATGTGCATGTTGCTGCTACCAGCAGACGAGGGGCCTAGCATCGTGGATTTTAGATGGAAGGAAATAGTACGGCCCACCCACATAAAGAGAGGAGAAAACAGAACCCAGCTTTAAATTGCATTGGAGTCGAATGTACAGTGGTACCTTGGGTTAAGTACCCAGTACTTAATTCGTTACGGAGGTCCGTTCTTAACCTGAAACTGTTCTTAACCTGAAGCACCACTTTAGCTAATGGGGCCTCCTGCTGCCACCACACCGCCAGAGCACGCTTTCTGTTCTCATCCTGAAGCAAAGTTCTTAACCCGAGGTAATATTTCTGGGTTAGCAGAGTCTGTAACCTGAAGCGTATGTAACCCGAGGTACCACTGTATATGACTCTGGGCATGATCCAACCAAACACCTTAAAGTCCCGTCAACTAGAACAGAAGAGACTGAAACTTGATTTTAAGCTCTCTCCTTAAAATTCATGTGAATAAAAAACCGGCTCAGTTTAGCTGGGCTGTTCCCTTCAGGCATCAAGAGGATAGACTGCAGCTCGGTGGTAGAACAGCTTTCAGTTTTCTTTCATTAGGTTTAACTGACTAATACTTCAACAGTCATGGCATTCATCCTTCAAGTATCCCAGGAGATCAGGCACAAAACACAGCATCCATATCCTGCCATTTTGATTCTCCTTCTTCAGGAACACATCACACATCACGTCTGGCAGGCATGCTTACATATGACACGAGGACTCTAGCCAATCTTAGATCCCTAACATGCACCTCTGGCTGATACATGCACTTGCAAACATTGTTGCTCTGTGTGAGCGTTGCACTGTTATGCACACACATGCAGCTTTTTATATGTATATTTAAAAAAAGCAATCCGCAGAGTGGCTCTGAGTATCATTCCATATCTGATGGAAGCTGCCCGGAATTTCTCTTTTCACCATTTCCAGCTGTACGTTGCTATGCATCATTTATGTTGAAAACCTTTCCATTTCGGCTGTTATTCCCTTCCCCTCTTTTATTTGGGAATCGTATTTTTGATTGATTGCTCGACCACTACTCTGTTTTTGTTTTTAACATCTCATCTTGTTCCATTGTTTATTCCCTGAACACCCATTGGCTGGTCCACCTGTTGTGGACTGAGGAAGCCAAGACTGACAAAGACCAGTTGTATAGAGCTGCTCAAACAGAGCCATTATGAGCCAGTTGCATGGAAATCCCAAGGTAAACTCTGTGTGGAAGTCAATCAACAGGGCTCCCAGAGTTGGCAAGTTGTAGGTTTTTTCATTTAAGTAATGGATAACCCTACATTTAACTCTGGAGTTTTACTCCTATGAAGTAATAATGAAGAGGAAGCAGAGATCATATCTGGACTTAAGCAGAGCCAAGTGTGAGGGCACAGATATTATTCAAGGAGTACAAACAAAACAGGCCGGCACAACTAAGATGTTATGCCTAAGGATTTAAATTTCGTTTCCTGTAGAAGTGCGGAGTGTCTGCCAAGAGACAAATTGGTTTCTAGGGCAATATTTGAAAAGAGTGATCACATATCCCTTTGAGTCAAAGTACAGAACAGTTGTGCTGCTGATATCCTTGAGCATGCATGTGTTCAAATTTCCAAGAGCTTTGGCATGGGATCTGCAATGTGAGATCACAATGGCACATGGCAATGGGGTGTTATAGATGGAGGGTGAGTTTCTGCTCATTTATTTTGACCATTTTGAAGGATAGCTCCAGTGCTGCACTGCACTGTAGGCCACAAAAGGCTTCCACATCTACTTGAGTCAAGAATGGAGAGATGACCACAGGTCGTGCAAACAATCTTGTGGCATTCCAGAATATTTAATAAAGTCCTCCAAAGTCCCTCCAGGATAAATAGTAATAGTAATAGTAATACCCTGTTCCTTTAAGTTGCAGTCTTGATTCCAATTGTGTACATGGACATCTGTTGATGTCATTAGAATGTATGCATGCCTAACTGGAACACGGTCTACAGTGAATTGCTTTATTTATTTTGAAATAATTTTTATTTGACTTTACAAATGTAGAGTTATAACAATACAAAATGCATATCCATATTTAGAGATTTCTCCGAACCTCTAGACTTCCCACTTCCCCTTCCTGGGTCCTATTATAAACCTGTTCAACTGCATATTATGTCATCATCCAAATTTGATGTCTCTCCATTTTGTCCATAATATCTTCTACATTACAAGTGTTATTGTAATCCTGCTAATGTTTTCATCTGCTTTCAGTGGTCTCTCAAGTAAATTATAAATTTCCCCCATTCTTTATTGAAGTTTTGATCTTCTTGGTTCCTGAGCTTTCAGGTCAGCTTTGCCATTTCGGCATACAGTGAATTGCTTTAAGCCTTACTGTTTAATGTTATCGGTGCCATCATTTACTTTTCATCGGTGGCATCATATACTTTTCTGTTCAGCATGGTATTATATATTTAACATGTGCCATATCTGTTTTCCAGCTTTCGGTCACAGGTGGTGTGTGAATAGGTCCTATTGAGGCAATAACGGGAGAGAGAAGGGTCACAGGGAGGAGGAAGCACTAGTGATAAGGTTTATGGGTTTGAACAGCTGAACTTTTACATACAGCTCTTCTGCTTTTTGGGTTCCCTTGTTTCAAGAGCTACAATTCAGACAATCAAATTCCTCCTCAGTCTGTGACTGCCATGTCACCCCTAAAATGGTGCCATCATAAAGCAACAGGTATAGGGAACCTGTACATCAGGTAGCAGCTAATTTTTTGATCTCCAGGTGTCACTGGGTTACAGCTCTCATCAATCCTGATTGCAAAATAATAATAATAATAATAATAATAATAATAATAATAATAATTTATTATTTGTACCCCACTCATCTGGCTGGGCTTCACCAGCCACTCTGGGCAGCTTCTAACAAAGATTAAAAATACATTAAAATGTCACACATTAAAAACTTCCCTTAACAGGGCTGCCTTCAGATGTCTTCTAAATGTCAGGTAGTTGTTAATCTCTTTGACATCTGATGGGAGGGTGTTCCACAGGGCGGGTGCCACTTCCAAAAAGGCCTTCTGCCTTGTTCCCTGTAGCTTTGCTTCTCGCAGTGAGGGAACCACCAGAAGCCGCTTGGCGCTGGACCTCAGTGTCCGGGCTGAACGATGGGGGTGGAGACGCTCCTTCAGGTATACTGGGCCAAGGTCTCTAGGTGTATTCCCAAGCTATGCACCTGTTCCTTCAGGGGAAATGCAACTCCATCAAGAACATGCCATCTATCCGATTCCCAGTCAAGGGCAATATTCTATTTTAAGGTTTTCATACTGCTCCGGGAGTTCTTGTCTTGAAAGGCAGTTTAAAAATGTAATAAATACACAGATTGTCATGTTCTGTACTTAATTATGTTGAGTATGTTTATTTTAATTTATTACATTTTTATCCTCTGATTACTCCAAAGAGGTCAAGGTGGCATACAATGGAGTTTCCAGGTGATCTCCCATTCAATCTAAGGCCTCCTCAGTTTCAGAGGTGGAACTAGGTTGGGTGTCTGAAGAACAGAGGTGGCAAGTAACAGGCTCCATCAGTTTCTATACCTTCCCTAATCTGGTTCCCCCTCCCCTGCCAAAAAACCCCAACAACTTTGCATGCTAACATCAGAAAAAATGTGGGAGCCTTTCAAAACGTATCTTGAAACTCTGGCTGAGGGTGGAGTTGGAGCCTTCTGATTGAGACTAGAATGACTGTTCTTGGCAACTGGCTAATCATTTGCATTCAGATGCCAAAAAGACCAGACATTTCTGTCCTGCAAGAAGTTGTCAAACATGTAGTCGTTTTCTCAGCTCTTCATACCAGCTTTCATCTTTTCCTCTCCCAGATGTTACGAGAGAGAGAGAGAGAGAGAGAGAGAGAGAGAGAGAGAGAGAAAGCTGCATTAATCTAAGAAAGCAAAATACGATGGTTACAGAATTATCTGTTAAATATAGAAGCTGGAGTTCTGTTTTGTGATAGCTCATTACTTGTTCTTCATGTCAGTTAAAAGCACACTCAACTTAGTTTTATGTTGTTGGTAGAGCTGCTCCCTTTCTTTTTCTCTGTGCATGTGTTACGTGCAGTCGCTTGGCTCTGAGTAGAGCTGCATCTGTTAGCAATGAAAAAAGAAAAGAGAGAGAAATTCGAAGCATAAAACATGTTTTCTCACACACACATAAAAGTCTGGGCCACTAAAAGGTGAATATCTTCACCAGGCCTCTCCCAAATACCATAATTTATAATCGCCAAACAAGTGACTCCGTAAAACAGATATATAAAATTACAGTTAGAAATGGGGAAATTATAATGTTTGCCAGATGAGAATCATGCAGGTTTATGTGCTCAGAATTCAGATCAGTGACCTCTGTTACATTCCCCCCGCATCACAAGATGGAAGGGGATAATAAGATTATTCCACTCTACAGTACGAGTATGCCGAGTGCATTTGAATTAATACTCTGGGCTTTTAATCCTCAAGACATACACCTGCACAATCCTGAAAGGGTAAAAAGTGAGCACCTTTCACTTGTCCTATACACAAACACAATGTATACCTTATCTCCCACTGATTTTCAAGTTCTGTGTTATTTCTACTATCACTATGGATGTCTGAAAAATTGATGAAAACAGGAGCAGAAATTGCCAGTGTTCACTGATATCTACGTCTGGAATGAAAATCAACTCAGTAAATATGATCAGTATTCATTGTTGCTGTTGCTTTCAGTCCACAAACAATTGCTTACATTCCCTTACACCATGTATTGTGGTTCCTCTGGAGTGAAATGAATAGGGTGGAATGAATGAATGAATGAATGAATGAATAAATAAATATTACATCAGGTTGTGGACATAACTCATGGCCAAAGCTGACATCTGAGCCTCTGTCAACAAGGTCAGTTCCAAGTGTAAACAATAAATTATGCACCTGATCTTTTAAGGGAAGTGCAGCCCCATCTAGAACATCATCTCCCTGGACTGGTAGGTTACCACACTTCTGGTTTGTCTAGATTTACTTTCAGTTTATTTTCTTCAAACATATCAGATGCTGATTTAGAAACCTCACAGGCGCCGTAGGACATGATAGCAGAGAGATATGGAGCTTAGTGCCACCAGCATACCATCCCATGGTCATTATTCCTGTTCCCTAATGATTTCTTCCAGTGGTTTTATGTAAATGTTGAATAGCATAGGAAACAACATCAAATCTTGCAGGACCCTATAGACCACAGGTATCAAGGGGTTGAGCACAAGTCCCCCCCAATACTGCTTTTTGAGATTTACCTACAAAGAAAGGCAAGAGGCAGCGCAAAATAGTACCCTCACCCCTTTTCTCTGTCAAAGTGGGGAGAACCATCTGGATTTGACTGCTCATTTTTGAGCATCCTAAATTCTCATTTTAAAAGTAAAATTAAATTTAATGTTCCTTCCGCCCACCACAGTTTACTTGACTTATAATTAAACTGTCCCTCACTGATGCCTGAATGAGGGAAATAAAGTAGGGTAACAACTGGAGGGCTATGAACTATGAAATTAAGGTAGCAAGAGTGGCTGGAATTGTATCGTGGGAGCAAGCCTCGTTCAATTAATGGGACGTACTTCTGGTTAGACACAGTTATGTTTGAAGACATATATGACTTTGAGATGGACTGTTAGCCATGCCATTAACTTTGAAAGGGGACACATAGGAAAAGTACGGGAATTGGTTTGCAAATGTCTGTTGATTGCATATATTTTAATGGAAAATAGCAGATGAAAATGCAACAGAATATTGGAATGCATTGAGGCATGCTCATAAATCCCTAGTTGCCTCTAAATGCTCAAGCACCATACTCAAAAGTGGAATATTAGGCACTGACCAATAATTATAATGGGTTCTTTGATAGAGAATGTACCACTGTCATTTCATTGTTGGGCACAAGTTTCTAAGCACATTCAGTTGCATGTGTTTGGAAATCAGGTATGCTGATTAGTTGGGGCTTCAGCTCATAGGGAGACTTCTATGTGCATGTGCCTGTGGGATGTTGTGGGTGCACTTATGTGCATGCCAGTGCCCTCTTCGTCTGTTTTCAACACTGTTTTCAACACAACAACTTTTCTCAGGTTAATATATGTCAGAATGGAAATGGCAGTCACATTGTGTTATGTATGAACCTCTGGAGCAGCTGTTTTTTAAAAATTCTTTTTTAAAGAATCTATTTTAAGGGGAAAGGAAAAGCCATTTCTTGAAATCAAGAACAGGTAGCAAGCCTAGGTGAGCGACAAAAATGGGCATTTCTTCAGAAAATTTGTCAAACAAAAAGCGTTTGGATTCACTGAACTTGGTTCAAGCACTCTGATGTTTCCTTTCCCCTACATGTTGCAAACACATTGGACACTTTGGAACCTTACAGTCCCGAGTGCATTTTATGTTCTCAGCATGTGGCATGTTATGTTATTTGAGTACTTTGTAATGACATTGAGTAACTAGAGATGGGTGAAGCAGTTCAGTCTAAATAGGAACCAGCCCACACCTTTGCCCACCCAAAAGTGACCTCAACCCAGGCCTTCCTTTTTGCAGTCAGGATTGGTTCAGAGAGGTCAGCTGTTGAATTGTCAGCTGGTGGCCAGACATGAGAACAGACAAACCCAATTACTGCCTTCCTCCCTCATCTGGAGGTTAAATATACTTTGTGTGCTCCTTCCATATTATTGTGGTTAAGACTTGAATTGAGACCCTTTTGCTCTGAAGTTAGCAGTTTCTGCCAAAGAGAGCCAAATGGTGGCTTCCATTTAGCTGAACCGGTAGCAAACACCTGGTCACTTCTCGGGTGAAAGTTTCCTTCAGATCCTCTGCATCAACATCGCTTATCAGCATCTTTCCCTTGTCTAAAGTGCTTTCAAGACTTATTTCTGTGGCTTGACTAATACCATTTTTCTCACCAAAGGCTCTAGAGGGGAGATCAGTTTCCTGACAATTTTCAGTTGTGGGTCCCTCAACTAGCAGATTTACGTAGAAAACCAAGCTGGTTTGAAGCCTTCTTCATTTGCAGGTTTGCTGCACTGAGAAGATTCCTGCTTACCATTCAAGTCTGGACTCTTTCTCAAATGAAACCAGGAAAAATCCAGGACTTGGAAATTAAAAACCTCTCCCCCTCTTAAAGCCACAAGGGAAGGAAATGTCATTTTCTGCCTCTTGGGAGTTTTGCTGTGGTCATGATGGTTTTTGCTTGAGTGAGGCAATGGATTGGCAACTTGTCCTGAAGAGCTGCAGGATCCAGTCCGCTCAGTCAGAAGAATTTATTGCGGTTCCAATGGAGGTTTCATTGCTGATTGATATGGTCAGTTGAGATGTTGTTGTTTAGTCGTTTAGTTGTGTCTGACTCTTCGTGATCCCATGGACCAGAGCACACCAGGCACTCCTGTCTTCCACTGCCTCCCGCAGTTGGGTTAAACTCATGCTGGTAGCTTCGAGAACATTGTCCAACCATCTCGTCCTCTGTTGTCCCCTTCTCCTTGTGCCCTCAATCTTTCCCAACACCAGGGTCTTTTCCAGGGAGTCTTCTCTTCTCATGAGGTGGCCAAAGTATTGGAGCCTCAGCTTCACGATCTGTCCTTCCAGTGAGCACTCAGAGCTGATTTCCTTAAGAATGGATAGGTTTGATCTTCTTGCAGTCCATGGGACTCTCAAGAGTCTCCTCCAGCACCATAATTCAAAAGCATCAATTCTTTGGCGATCAGCCTTCTTTATGGTCCAGCTCTCACTTCCATACATCACTACTGGGAAAACCATAGCTTTAACTATACAGACCTTTGTTGGCAAGGTGATGTCTCTTTTGAGATACTTCCTTGTAATTCATATCCTTCTCTTTGTGTGTATGGGCTACAAAAACACAACAAGCAGCATAGGAACACTTCCAAGAGACCTCCTCCGCTTTCCCAAAATAATTTCAGGAGGTGAACTGATGCGACACAACCTTATAGCCATTGTGATGTTCCCAGATTCTCCCACAAGGGCCTGTCCTCAGGTAGTCAGTACGTTAACTCCCTCAGCTACTCTGCTGAGGCCCAACTTCCCTCAAAATACCTGCTGCAGCAGCCTACAGACTTAGAGCAAGAAAGCAGTACGATTCTCCATTTTTATTCTTACTCAAATACTTCTACACAAGATACATGGGGTGAGCTATATTTATGTTAGGATCTACCCAGGCCAAAACATAGACACTTAAAATATAAACATATATTTAATTAGGGAACACAGCACCCAGATTAAGTAGTCATTGTATAATAAATTCTTTAAGAGTTCTATTTTCTTGCCCTGCCATAATTTTTCTATTTACTCTCCTGTCACTTCCATGGATGCCTATTTTGTTATAGGTTAAGCTATATATTTGATTGCCCTTAGGTATAGAAACCACATAAACTTCCAGGGCCAAACCCAGAATTTTGCAATGTAGTTCTCCAACCAACCAATGTGTTTTAAAAAATGCAAATACTAAAGTAGAGTGTGCATTAATATATATATATATTAGTGAAAAGAACACCCCAAAATGCATTATATTGCGGGAAACGGCTGTCACTAATTAGGAAGAATTGCATTTTTAAAATGTGAATACAGTGGTACCTCAGGTTAAGTACTTAATTTGTTCCGGAGGTCCGTACTTAACCTGAAACTGTTCTTAACCTGAAGCACCACTTTAGCTAATGGGGCCTCCTGCTGCTGCTGCTGCTGCGCCACCAGAGCATGATTTCTGTTCTCATCCTGAAGCAAAGTTCTTAACCCGAGGTACTATTTCTGGGTTAGCGGAGTCTGTAACCTGAAGCGTATGTAACCTGAAGCGTATGTAGCCCGAGGTACCACTGTATTAGGATAAATTGACACAACAGTGCTGATGAATTTTCATGGGAACTTAAAAAACAGCAACCCTCAAACTTATATGGAAATGTGGAGAAATGAATTTAAGATTGGAAAAATGAGAAAATGGGAGAGTCAGAAATCAACAGATTTCCACGTCCCTAATAGAAACTTCTGACCTTTATGCCGCTCGAATGCAAGGTCTTGTACGGTTTAGAATCACTTCTGTTGCTTTGCCCCACTTTTGATTGTGGCCACACTCACCAACAGCATGCAGGCCCTGAAAGGTTGCCAATGATGGACTAGGTCCCTTTGGGCTGAAAAATGCCTGCCCCTCTTTTTTGGAATTATTGTTGTTGTTGTTTAGCCGTTTAGTCGTGTCCGACTCTTTGTGACCCCATGGACCAGAGCACACCAGGCACTCCTGTCTTCCACTGCCTCCCGCAGTTTGGTCAGACTCATGTTTGTAGCTTCGAGAACACTATCCAACCATCTTGTCCTCTGTCGTCCCCTTCTCCTTGTGCCCTCAATCTTTCCCAACATCAGGGTCTTTTCCAGGGAGTCTTCTCTTCTCATGAGGTGGCCAAAGTATTGGAGTCTCAGCTTCACGATCTGTCCTTCCAGTGAGCACTCAGGGCTGATTTCCTTAAGAATGGAGAGGTTTGATCTTCTTGCAGTCCGTGGGACTCTCAAGAGTCTCCTCCAGCCTCATAATTCAAAAGCATCAATACGGACTCACATATGCAACTGAAGCTTTGTTAACTTCCCTGGCAGGCCCAACAAACAGAAAAACATAACCAATTCTTATGTAACACACAACATAATCATTTCAAGCAGTCCTACCACCCCACCCCAGCTTACTGTGCCTAGCAAGCTTCAGAAATAATTCTCACCAAAGCATTTTACCTAAGAAACCCCATGAACCTCTTTGCATTTAATCCCTTATATAAATGAATGTCTTCTGTGTTCACGCCATTGCTCTTTTATGGAACGTGGATGCCAGTGAAGTGGCCCTTGAAATGAACAAGGTTCATTGTTGATCAATGTGCAGTAGAGGATCCAACTGGTTTTTCCCCCCTTTCCATTTACACATGCTTGATAATTTGATTAAAGCTGATAAACAGCATGAAGCATCTGATCTGTAAAAGGTTAAGGAAGAGTACATGGCTAAATATGTGCTTAATTTTTATCTACGTCAGATATTCAAGCTGTTCTAATGAAAATATTTATAATGCATTCTGTAAAGATTTAATCCGATCTCTTTCCTGATGGATGAACTCTCGCTTCAAGAAAGATACACACTTCCACTCTCTCCTTTTAGCGCAGTTTCAATGATGATAAAATCACCACAACGAAGTTGAACTCAGTTGCATTAAGACTGGCGTGTTTACCAGCTGAAAAATTTATCGGGTGTAGACTTTACCTGTAAGAACCTTTCTCAAGAATAGACTTTCATTACAAAATTTGGAAAATTGTGAATTTTGAATGATGGCTGTTTCAGTTTTTGTATTGTTTTGGAATGTGTGGATTAGGTTAGGTTCGCTTTTAAATGTGAAGTGAATCAAATTTCTTCTCCATCCCTGCCCACTGCTTGCCTGTGCCAAACTCTGCCAGTGAAAACTCTCCAAACCACTGTGGAGCCCCCTGGTGTGTCTGACAAAAATGGCTCATGGTAGACAGCAAAAAGACCCCAAATCAGATATCCCATGGGGCAATGGGAATTATTTTTGAATTATGGTGCTGGAGGAGACTCTTGAGAGTCCCATGGACTGCAAGAAGATCAAACCTAATCCATTCTGAAGGAAATCAGCCCTGAGTGCTCACTGGAAGGACAGATCGTGAAGCTGAGGCTCCAATACTTTGGCCACCTCATGAGAAGAGAAGACTCCCTGGAAAAGACCCTGATGTTGGAAAAGATGGAGGGCACAAGGAGAAGGGGACGACAGAGGACGAGATGGTTGGACTGTGTTCTCGAAGCTACCAGCATGAGTTTGACCAAACTGTGGGAGGCAGTGGAAGACAGGAGTGCCTGGCGTGCTCTGGTCCATGGGGTCACGAAGAGTCGGACACGACTAAACGACTAAACAACAACAGCAATGGGGGCAATATACTATTTAGTTCATCTTTTAATGAACTAAATATGTGCGATGCCATCTGAATATAATCCCAGTTTGAGCCTAAGAGCTTCCCTGCAGGCTCATCTGCCCTGACATCCTGTTCTCAACAGTGACTAACCAGATGTGTACAGGAATCCCACAAACATGACCTGAGCACTCTTCTCACCTGTGTTCCACTTTGCCATCTCATCCCAACATACATCATTCTGTGGCCACTGAGCATGTTCAGTCACCACTGCGATGTCTTGGGAATCTCGCCCACATTAGGATCTTTTTTTAAAAAAAATATGTCGTGGCATTTCTGCAAACTTTGAGGTTTCTCCAAGCCTCCTGAGACTTCTCTCTTCTGTATAGATGGTGCCATTTTGCTTACCCACACTTGAAGAATGATTTTCCTATTAATATGTAGGATTTTGCATTCAACAATGGACAGACTGTGACACAAATCATCTTTCTGGTAGGTAGCCGTGTTGCTCTGACGCAGTCAAAATAAATAAATAAAAGTTAAAAAGTTGTCCCTTAGCACCTTAAAAAGGTAAAGGGACCCCTGACCATTAGGTCCAGTCGCGACTGACTCTGGGGTTGCAGCGCTCATCTTGCTTGATTGGTACAGCATGACTAAGCCACTTCTGGCGAACCGGAGCAGCGCAGGGAAACGCCGTTTACCTTCCCGCCAGAGCGGTACCTATTTATCTACTTGCACTTTGACATGCTTTCAAACTGCTAGGTTGGCAGGAGCAGGGACCGAGCAATGGGAGCTCACCCCATCGCAGGGATTCGAACCGCCGACCTTCTGATTGGCAAGTCCTAGGCTCTGTGGTTTAACCCACAGCGCTACCCGTGTCCCTCCCTTAGCACCTTAGAGACCAACTAAGTTTTTTCTTGTTGTGATACTGCCAGGGAGACGGGGCATCAGGCAAGTCCCCAGCTGGCTCTGGACGATCACCCGTCTCCCATGGAACAGCATCAGTCAGTCAGCAACACGAGCCTCAGATACGTTCCAAGACCTGTGCACACTCTGTCAGCAGAGTGTATAAATCATCCACAACAAAAGAGGTGGACAGAGAGAGATGTGCAAGCATATTTACAGCATTTATTCAGCATAGTTCAGGAACAAAGGAAACCATAACTGCTTGCCTTCGTGTCCAGCAAAACAGCGCTAGCACAAAAGCTATACACAACGAAAGTTCCCAGCAGACAGTGCTGGGAGTAAACAGGCATGTGATACACAAACGTCATCCCTGTACCCTTTTAAGGTGGAATGGAATTATATCCTAATAGTTCTGGGTATAAGCTTTCGTGTGCATGCACACTTCTTCAGATACACAAATCATCTTTGACATTTTAAAACGAGAACCTGGGAAGCTTTGTTCCTTTGGGAATGTTCTAATCCACGGATTCTTTTGAAAACATGCAAATTCGTTAACCTTGAGTGATTAAGCTGGGGTTGCCGTCCTCTTTGGACCAGGGAGGACATTTGAAATTTAGAGAAAATGTTGTAGGTAGGTGCTAGTCACCAAATGGCTGCTGCAAGTTGTGTAATGTAACACAAAAATGGCCGCCATATCTTAAAAAAAGGGCAGAAAAAGAGACAGGAACACAAGATGCTGTAGGCTTGCCATATTTCAAAAAGTAATATGCCTGATACCCACAAAATTGTTGAGCGCATCATCAGCCAGTTTCATATACAGCTTGAAGATCAGAGCATAAACAGTGGCTGGGACAAGAGAGAGCAAGAGGATCTTTGGCCTAGTGGCCAAAAGAAGATAGCTGTGTTAGTTTTATGAGTTAATGTGAACAAGTGAAGAGTGATGCTTGTCCCTCAATATCTGTCTGAGTTCTCACAGATTTATGAAGGCTCATAACTGCTGTCTATGGCATGGCACAACAATAGTGAAGAATAATGTTATTTATATCACTTGCTAAATAAATTTTCATATGAAATTAATTTCCAGGAATACATGTAGTAGTCAGTTTTCTCTGTCCTAATCCTTTCCTCTGAATCGTCTTACTATGGCAAGTTTGGGATCTGGCCCACATTTACGACATTCTTAGCTAATGTAGACACTGCATTCCTATCTTGATATTTTCCACGTGTTGGGCTCAACATGAAATACATAATCCTGTTCCCCCCTACACACACACACACACACACACACACACACACACACTAATTAGTTCATACCATATGCAGCACAATCCTATGCATGTTTAGTCAGAAGTAAGTCCTACTGGGCCCAATGGGATTTATTCCTTACTAAGTGTGCATTGCAGCCTTAGGTAATATGGTGAACTTGACTTCAGACTAGCAGCAGCAAAGGCAACATTTAAAAATGAGAATTGTTTAAATACAATCGTAATGTCTTGCATGGAGAAAGATGCTTTTATTAACTGATTTCTAATTTGTTACTGCTTTTTTTCCATTTACCATTAAAAACATATATTTACAAAATGCTAGGAAGTTACATGTATCCATTAAACGGCCCTTCACTGAAATAATCTATCCTTGTTTGTTTTAGCTATTTTTAGCTTTCGGCCCCAGATCTGGACACTATGATTTCTGGAAGTGAGTCCACTTCTCTCATGTTGCAGCAATGCATGTTTACGGATTTTGGTATCTGGGTCTTGTTCAACATTACAGAGGATATTTCATGCAGAAATATAGATGCTGTTTAAATAATAACGGTGGAGATTCTCAAAATGTTGGGCTCAGCTAAGGAGACACAGAGCTTCTCCACACTTACCTTTTCTCTTTTCTCTTCACAGTCGCGGTCTGTACTTTAAAGCTCCGTTTCAGTCTCTACCACTGGAATGAATGGGATTTTGGCAGAACCACGACCCATCCTGTAAATGTCAAAGTAGCCTGCACCTGACTGAGGAGTGGAATATAGGTAGGCAGGGGGATAAATTGCATGTTTGTGCTCTGATTGCCAGATAACGAGCAAGTTTCCAAACGTCCCTGGTCCAAGCGTTTCTGGAGAACACCTGTCCACCTTCACTGGTTAATGTCTGCTGTATGAAAAGAGGCCTGTTCAGCATCCAAACAGGTAAAATGAAGGATTGTCTTGCTGCCTGTTTGAAAGGCAGTAGGTAGAAAGCTGACGCAAAGCAGGCGTCCTGCTGCACCTGATGTGTGTCTGCTTCATGTCTGTAGTCCTCATACATTTCGTTTAGCTTTGGGACCTGCTTCTCTTTTATGGCGGGGAGGGAACTCGAAGGACTATAAGGACAATGTCACCATTGAAATATTAAGGATATGCCAAAGAGGCATAAATACTGCCTTGGTGTGTCAAATCCAAAGAGGCCTTCGGAGATCATAAGAGTACTAACAGAGATCCCAAGCCACCGAATGAGACCATATTTATGGAGTTTCGCTTGATGTATTAATGACCTAGATAAAGATGTGTGTTTTTCCACAATTAGTTTGGTCTTTGCTTAGATATGTAACATCAATAGGGCTTGCCAGGTAGTTCATTGAAGATGACAGTAAATCTCTCTTCCTATGGCTTACAGTCATCCTATAAATATAGCCTGGAAAAGAAAGAAGAATTGGGATGAAGCAGAACTACTTTTGGGAAACACTGAAACAGAAAGACAGTTTTCACAACCCGGGGTAGGATGAGAGTGTGTGTGTGTGTGTGTAGATATAGATTTAGATGATATAGATATAGATACATAAAGTTTGAATATATATATATATATATATAGTTTGAATATATGCAGTGTTCAGACTCTATATTCAAAAGACGTTTACTTTCATAAACATATAATTGAGAAGAACATATCTCATGCTTATTCGCTTTGTTCCTTATAGACAGCACAGGTTTCTCCCTATTAACATTTAGGGATCTTCCTCTGTCTGCTTCACCCCAGACAGACCACACTGACACACACTGTCCTCTGCAGCATCCAGGGAAACCTCTCTCATCAGCCATTCTCCTTCATAAACAGAGAGAGAAAGAACAGAAAACAGTTAAAAATGACAGTTACTTGAATAACAGTCACAACAGAATGGAATGCTTCTCTCATGTGACTCACAGTCAGCCAGTCACATGAGAGAGCTACTGCCAAAGGAAAAACCCCATGCTAGAAATACACAGCAATTCAACATAAGCAAACATTCCCATTCCAGAAAGCTGAACCCTTATCCTTAACATAGGGAACCTGTGGTCCTCCAAAGGTTGTTCAGCTCCCACCAACCACAGCCAGCATGGCCAATGGTCAGGGATGATGAGGGCATTGTAATCCAACAACATGTGGCAGGTCACAGATTTACTGCCCCTGTTATAACCATATTGACTTTTCTGCTTATGTTGGGCCAAGAGTGACAGAGCTGATGTAACAGTGCTGCATGATCCAAGCCAAATACTTGTATAAGCACATTCTACATTCCTCCATTTCAAGAGGAGGGAGTTTAGCCTATGCTTATGTATTGTTTGTGTGCATATTACTTCTACTTATACACCACTTTTTGAGGTGTAAGGAGAAAGAAAGGGGCTCTGTGGGAGATAGCAAATGAGGAGGGACTTTCCCTCAACTCACAGATACAAGACCCTTTTTGAATGTTGATGCGCTGAACTCCTCCATCGTAGGCTCAGGATGTATATATGTGTGAATAAACCATATATCACAAAGACACCATAGTCTCTACTGTGCCTCATTCCCAGAAGGAAACAGGAACCCTGGTGAAATATACTCAGAGTCGAGTGTGGATTTCATGCTCTTTATTCAGCTCATAGTAGTGAGGAATGAGAGTTCCCCCAAAATATCTGCTTTATATACATTATTTACACAATGGGCCACACATGATTGGCTAATGCTGGGATTCTCCTGTAGGCCAATCAGGTTGTGGATTCACTTCCACCTGGAGCTGGATTGGGTGGCTTCTGCAGACCAATCATACTGCTGCATTCTGGACCCTATTGTTCTAGGGTCCAATCAGACTGCTGCCTTTTGGATCCTATTCAACTCAGTATATAACACCTGGGTAACTGTTTGGAACCCCTGGAATCTCACACCGCTCAGAGATAGGGGTGGCATGCAACAATATGTTTCTGGTCTATATTGAGAAGGCATCTCAGTGCTGTTTTCTATTAAGCCATAAAACTCTCTTCTCTGTACTTAGTTTCTTGTAAACAATGTGGCACAGTGGCGTAGTGTGGGTTGCCAGCACCTGGGGCCACGTGAATGGCAGGGAGGGAGATGGAGTACACGTTGTCTGGAGAAGTCACTTCCTGGTTCACACAGAGAAGCCGTTTTCAATGGAGCCCAGATACAGTGCACAGCTGTACTGAGTCAGCACTGGGTGTTGAAATTTTGCACCCCTGACAATTTTGAACCTGGGGCAACTGTCCCTGTGTGCCCCACCCAGTGGGTGGAAAAGAAGGAGAGGGTGTTTAGAGGGGAGTAGGTATCAGGGTGAGGGAGGCGGGGCTTCTGATTTGGATCAGATTAAAATCTGAACTGGATAAGAGCTTGCTTATAATTTGAGACAAGTGTTGTGAGCTGCTGAGATTCATATTACTGATCTAAGAAATGTAGGACACAGTACTGTCACTAATGATTACACTAGATCATTAATGACTGCTTTAGTTCTCTTTGAAAGCAGCCAAAGATTAGGCACCCTTTTTCTCTCAAAGCGTCAAGGAGTCAAGCATTTGCACCAGAATTTTATCACTAGTTTCCTGCTGATGTTTGCCACTGGCAGTGTCTCAACTCCAGCGGCTTCCTTAGGAATAGTTCAGAACTAAATCCAATTTAGTTGTTGAAGGAAGATCCAATGCGCCGGTAGAATCATGCTTTAGTGCTCAAATTAAATGGTTTCTGGATTCAGGGCAACACTTTACAAAAATAGTTGAGTAATGTGTCATTCTTGAAAACACTTCCTTCCTCCCCCCCCCCCCATTTAATTTAAAAGCAGTATTTCCTATTGTTCCATTGTAAACACAGTGTTCAGGGTGGCTCTTTTCGATTATTACACTATTGCATGCAAGGGTGGGAGCAAGCATTTTGTGCAAATTGGAAATACAAGGGTTATTAGCTGTCAATGAAAGGGCATGTATACACCTCCAAAATGAATAGCTGAATTCTTCATGAGAGAAGAACAAGGAGCCCAATAATAAGGCAAAAGGAGCATCTCCACGCCCATCGTTCAGCCCGGACACTGAGGTCCAGCTCCAAGGGCCTTCTGGCGGTTCTCTCACTGTGAGAAGTGAGATTGCAGGGAACTAGGCAGAGGGCCTTCTTGGTAGTGGTGCCCACCCTGTGGAATGCCCTCACATCAGATGTCAAGGAAGTAAACAACTATCTGACTTTTAGAAGACATCTGAAGGCAGCCCTGTTTAGGGAAGTTTTTAATATTCAATGTTTTATTGTGTTTTTAGTCCTCTGTTGGGAGCTGCCCAGAGTGGCTGGGGAAACCCAGCCGGATGGGTAGGGTATAAATAATAAATTATTATTATTATTATTATTATTATTATTATTATTAAAGTGTGCTGCAGGAAAGTAAAAGTACAGTAATACATTATCACCTTTGTAACTTGAGGCAATGGCTTCCAGTCTTTCTATCTTCAGGCAATTCTTTCCATTCCAGTTTGTCTGCTGAAGAACAGGTTAATGTCTGTCACAAAATCACCTATATATTGCAAAGGATTCTGGTGTTTATTATAGGGTGCACAGTAAAGTTGGTCAAACCAGTTGGCTGGGTCTGGCCTGGTACATCCTTTATAAGATGCATGTTATGATAAGTTGCCATGGGAACCAGTTCTTCAGTTGCTTCACTGTTGTTCTAGGTGAACTGAGAATACACCTTAGATTGTGTGTCATCTTCTCTGGTGGCTGCCCAATGTTGGGGACAATGGGTGGTGAAGAAACCCAAGAAAGCTCCTTATCAACCCAAAGTTCCCTAGAAGAAATTTGCTCCCTTTGTTCTGTGAAAACCATACTTTGCTCACATGCAGTATTTCTCCTGTTAACCTGGTTCACCTCTCAGCAATGATTGAGAATTTTGAAACCCAATTTTTTTATATCTGCCTTTAAGATATGGGGCAGTAGGATGAATGGGAAGAACAGCTTCCTTAGTGCTATGGATGTCTCATCATATGCTTCAGGGAAATCTATTTCTTGGATTAAAAAATGGTTCGTCTCCCTTCTAATGCAGTCCTCTTCAAAGATTTTCCCTGTAAGACACAGCTCATTGCCACTTGTGATGCTACTGGCTATGTCAACCCATTTGCTTTCATGTTCAACATCAAACTGTCATTTGATTCAAAGCAGGCTTGAATCTTTAAGACATATATGTAAATCAAATCCTACCAGCATACTGAACGCACAAATCTCTCTCTCTCTCTCTCTCTCTCTCTCTGTTATAGCTGTAAGTCTTGCAAATCCTAAAATTGGGATTCATTATTACAAGCAAATATTACTATAGTTATTACCTAAAATATATATCTTTGCACAGTATGAAGCATTCTATTGTTCTTGCTGAAAGTTTGTAAAATAATTGTTATGAATTCCAGAGCATTTAAAAATTCCCAAATTGAATTAATTTAACATTTGGCAAAGTGTTTCACTTTAGGAGCATATCAGCTTTAAGAATGATTATGACTATGGGTTTTTCCTCCCTCCAACAGAGAATTATGGACTGGATAGCAACCTAATTATTCTGGCTGAGATATATCAATATGGACATAGTTTTCTCTGCGTTGTCATGATCATATCAACATTACATAATATGAATGAGCTCATTCTAATCAGGTTAGTTGGGGCTTCTTGGAAGTGATTTTTAAAAAAATACCTGGAGCATAAAGGGAAGCCAGACTTCTCAGACCATGTTTTCTGAAGTAATCTCACTGATTTGCAGGAAATGTTATGCGCAAGTTATTTGAGACAACAGGCCTACATGTCCCCAATGTTACATTTAATGTTGCTGTAGATCAATTTAAATCACAACATTGCCAAAACTTCTCATCAGTTAAGTGTGCAGTTGCAATGAGATATGTCTGCTTGTCTACCGAGGGCAACCTACGTCCACAGAGCAGGTGTGATATGAGGTAAAGAACTCCAGAAGCCAAGGCTGCGATGAGCAATGCGAATCTCACTGGAAGAAGTCCAGATAGGCTTTCCTTAACAGATGGTAAATACTGTTAGGTTTTGACTGCTCTAAACACCTCTTTGGGGAGATTTGAGGACCGACTCCAAGGTCCTTGCTGGCCGCCACCCCAATGGCTGATTGGTAATGTCAAGCAAATAGTGTGATGCTATAGCAATGCTATTGTGTTGGCTCTAATGAAAAGATGATGGTTTCTCTAGGCTTTCCTATACCTCAGCTGTTTGCTTGGCAGCCTTTTTTATGGCTTTGGGATACTCAAAGCTATTACAGGTCATATTCCACACCTTTTTCATGTATGTGTGTATGTGACTGACAGCAGTGGAGGAAAACAATCAAGTGATTTAAACCTTGGACAATGGTGAAAGTGAGCATCAAAAAGAATGCAATATATTGAAAGTTATTCAAATACAGTCATACCTCATGTTACGGCTGCTTCAGGTTATGTGTTTTCGGCTTGCGGACTGTGGGAAACTTGGAAGTACCAGAACGGGTTACTTCCGGGTTTCGCCATTTGCGCATACGCAGAAACGCTAAATCACACTTCACGCATGCACAGAGGCGCCAAATCACGCCTGTGCCTGCACAGGCAGGCACGGCGCCTCAGAATGCGAACGCTGCGGGTTGCAAATGTGCCTCTGTCACGGATTATGTCTGCAACCCGAGATTCCACTGTAAAAGAAAACTGTCCAGTGATTCATCTTCTGTCTAGCATAGTTACATGTTTTCAGAGTGGCAGATTAAAAAGTCACTCATCTGCATGCTCAAAGTGTTAGGGATGGCAGCTGGGCGGGAAGAGTGGCACTGCTATTGCATTTTCTCATTGGCTCTTGGCCTCTGTAACTTAACACAGCCAATCGCATCCAGCTATTATACATTGCCAGCAGTGTGGGCAGACAGGAGAAACATCAAAGACACATGGCTTTGGAGAGAGCCTGATACTTATTGGACAGAAGCAGCCATGAGGTTTTTATGTAACTTCTGAGCTGGCTGGTTGACTGGAGAACAGCAGGAGCAGAGTGTGTAGGCCCTGAGCAGTACAAACTTGACATTTGAGAGCTAGTTCATGTTTCATTCTTCTAGCTTATAGTATCCCAGATTCTTTAAAAGTGTGAACAGTTCACCTTCCCACTCTCTCTCTGTCTTAGGAGTCTTGGGCACAGAAATGACTAGTTGTGAGACTGAGCGGGGAAGACTCTGGTGGAGAAATAGAAGAAGACTGTGGGGTTAATTTTGCTTAACACTTTCCTTTCTAATCTGGGAGGTCGAAGCAGCGTGTAAGGACGAAGTAGCATGTTAATGAGTTACCCATACAAATCTAAGCAGGAAGGGGACATCGACACCAACAGAATAGTTTGGAAAGCTGGGATGTGATCTAAGATTCATATTGACTTCAGCAGGCTTTGAATCAGAAAACCAGAGGACTTAAGACTACAGGCAGAAAATAAGAGAAGGAAGGCACCCTTTTTCATATGTGGTGGAAGTGTAAGATAGCAAAAGGGTTCTGGGAAACGATATATAATGAATTTTAAAAATGTTGAAAATAAGCTTTTCTTTTAGGTATAATTGCAGAAGAACTACCTAAAGATCAGAAAAAAGTTATTTATGGATGCCACCACGGCTGACCAAGTGGCATGTGTCCAAAGATGGGAAGAAGAAGCAGTTCCAACGAAAGATGATTGGCAATTAAAACAGATGGAGTACGAAGAGATGGTGAAACTTACTGGAAGAATATGTGAAAACAAATGATAAACAATTAAACACATTAGCAGGATTCACATGAACACAAGCAGTAAGAAATAACTTAAAGGGAGTAAAAAGGTTAAACTTGTAAATAGGTTTGAAATGGTTATGCAGTAAGATTATGATATAAAATAAGGAACAGCAGAGGGGGAGGGGAGGGAAGGCGAAGAAAAGGCAGGTTGAATTTGCTTAGATTTAATTTTTGATGTTAAAATTTTGTAATTGGAAAAATGGAAAAGTAAAGTATATATATTTTAAAAAACTACAGGCAGAAAACAACAAATGGGGATTTGGCTTAGAAGTATTCAAACCAACAAAAAATGTTAGTGTATGTAAGATATTCAGTATATATAGGCGACCGGAAGAGCAGTAATACTAAAATAAACAAGAAAGTAACAACTGGCAGGGATCAAGGTCTACCTTCAATCCAGAAAGAAAACGACATTTCATTTTGGATTTTTGGGGGGAAATTTGGCGCCTCTGTAATAATAATAATAATAATAATAATAATAATAATAATAATAATATTTTTATTTATACCCCGCCTATCTGGCTGGGTTTCCCCAGCCACTCTGGGTGGCTCCCAACTGAATATTAAAAACATGATACAGCATTAAACATTAAAAACTTCTCTAAACAGGGTTGCCTTCATATGTCTCCTAAAAGTAAGATAGTTGTTTATTTCCCTGATGTCTGGTGGGAGGGCATTCCACAGGGTGGACACCACTACTGAGAAGGCCCTCTGCCTGGTTCTCTGTAACTTCTCTTCTTGCAGTGAGGGAACCGCCAGAAAGCCCTCGAAGCTGGACCTCAGTGTCTGGGCTGAATGATGGGGGTGGAGACGCTCCTTCAGGTATACTGGGTCGAGGCCGTTTAGGACTTTAAAGGTCATATGGTATATATAAAGTTTTCATATATCAATCAGGGAGAGGCATGCCTCAGAATCATCTGCAAAAAAAGGAGGCTTTTCCCCCATTGTTGTATGAGGGGATCCCATGCAGCTTTGCAGGGGAACCTCTGCAAAAATAATGTGGGGAAATCTCTGTTTCAGCAGGGAGTCGTAATGCAACCCCCTTCCTAACTCAGGAGCAAGGGTGAAATCCTGTTTAGTTTGGCTGTGTACTTTTGTTCACTGCTGGGAACAAGGGCGTGCAGCTAATGCAGGATTTAACTTCACCACAACACCCATCAGCTTATGTCATGAGTGGTGTCAGCTGATGGGTGGATGGGCATGGTTTTGGGGGAAACGGCCTTGTGTGCCAACTTGGACCTCCTGGCAGGCCAGGATTAGCCTTTTGTTGTTGTTGTTGTTTAGTCGTTTAGTCGTGTCCGACTCTTCGTGACCCCATGGACCAGAGCACGCCAGGCACTTCTGTCTTCCACTGCCTCCCGCAGTTTGGCCAAACTCATGCTGGTAGCTTCGCGAACACTATCCAACTATCTCGTCCTCTGTCGTCCCCTTCTCCTTGTGCCCTCCATCTTTCCCAACATCAGGGTCTTTTCCAGGGAGTCTTCTCTTCTCATGAGGTAGCCAAAGTATTGGAGCCTCAGCTTCAGGATCTGTCCTTCCAGTGAGCACTCAGGGCTGATTTCCTTCAGAATGGAGAGGTTTGAACTTCTTGCAGTCCATGGGACTCTCAAGAGTCTCCTCCAGCACCATAATTCAAAAGCATCAATTCTTTGGCAATCAGCCTTCTTTATGGTCCAGTTTTCACTTCCATACACCACTACTGGGAAAACCATAGATTTTACTATACGGACCTTTGTTGGCAAGGTGATGTCTCTACTTTTTAAGATGCTGTCTAGGTTTGTCATTGCAGGATTAGCCTACAGGACAGATATTCCCCACCTCTGAGATGGAAACACTTCCTGTGGAGGTTATGCAGAACAACCAATAGCAAATGGACATCAAATGGATGTCAGTCGCTCACAAAAACAATTGTAAGCACCCTATGCTCCTCCCAAATCCTGCACAAAGGAGAGTAGCTGGGAAAACCCAGTCAGATGGGTGGGGTAACAACAACAACAACAATGTGGATAGGCCCATGGCTGAGCATCTCTGTAGGACTTTACGTATCACTGAGGTTTGAAGCAGGCCAGAGTTGGCCTGTATCCCAACTCTGTATAGATATGGTTTGCAATTATATGAGAAAGTTCATTTATTGACTTTCTAACCCATTTTTCTTAGTTGTGACATTCTTTAAATACCTTACCCAAGTGTTAATATCCAGGAAAGAAGTGTGACTGGCCCAAGGTCACCCAGCAGCTGCATGTGGAGGAGCAGGGAAGCGAACCCGGTTCCCCAGATTACGAGACTACCGCTCTTAACCACTACACCACACTGGCTCTCCTTTATTTTATTTTATACCTTTATTTTATTTTAATACTAGTTTCTCACAAACTGTTCTAGGTGTTACTCGGTGATGGTGGATCAAAAAGCTCAATTCAGCACATGACAGATGCACGTAACCTGTGTGGAACAACTCTAGAGAGTGACATGGTAGACGGCGGAAGTTTTTGTCCGATATGAACATGGGCTATTCATAAAGCAGAAAAAGGGAGCCTATATCCTGGGAAACTAACTTTCCAATTTGATTTCATGAAATATGTGGCTTTTCCAACTTCTCTATATGCTTGACTATTCTCTTCAAGAATGTTAAATGAGTACTATTTTAATACCCAAAGCCCAGTTGTTTTATATATATATAACAATTGGGCTTTTGGAATTAAAACAGTGCTTCATCTAACACACACGCAGGCCATCGATTAAAAAGAAACAGAGGAAATATCTATTGTAAGCACCTTTCTGTTTAGATTCTTCGCAAAGGTTTGGTATTATAAGTATTTTCAGGAATTGTTCCTAGCCCCAAGAGCTAAGTTCATGAAATAATCCTTTGGCCTGTTTTCACTTATGTTCATGTGTCATTTATATTTCTGAAAAATATTTCCATTGAAAGGATAATTTGAATGTGCTCAGGACTCTCCCTTCCTTCTTGAAATGCAGGAATATTTACATATTGTATTTTCATTTCTCCCCACTCGCCAGTCTGAAAATGTTATGGAGTTCTATCAGCACAGAAAAATAGCGGATGTTAAGATGACAGTTGTAAAAATAGTTTCAATGTATATTATGTTCTTTTTACAATATGATGATCCACAGGGATTTAGAGTCAAGCTTGCCAGAGAATGTAAGGGTAAAGAGTTACTGAGGTCTCATTGGTGCCAAGCCTGTGCTAGCAACACATATTTTGAATTAGAAAGCAGCAGAAATCTGAAAGTCCTGTTAGAGGTCTACTACAGGAATGGAAGGAAGTGCACAACAAGAGCAGTTCTTAATCAAAATTAAAATTCTGAAGATGAGTTCCACACATAACTTTGAAAGGCAGTAACTTCAATTAACAGAAATATTTCAGCCTGCATCACAGCAGAGGTTTGAAGATACTCCCCTGGGCATACTAACATCCAGCAATGAACTGCGCCGAGGCAACTGTACTGCCTTGTAAACACATGCACTTTGTTTGTTTAAAGATGAGCTCTTAATTTAAAAAGAAAATGATTGCTCAGTTTTTCAATGCAGAGTGGACCATTAATGGTAAATATACACTTGTGGAGAGAGCTTATTGTTTTATGTTTTTTGATGCAGACCCTCCAAGTGTCCCTATTTTCCAGGGACAGTCCCAGATTTACAGAAGCCATTCTGGTTTCTGATTTGATCCTGGAATGTCCTGCTTTTCCAGAGGATGTCTATCTTTTCCTCAGAGAAATGTTGGAGGTTATGGAGTTATCTGACCCTCGAGCCATCTGAAGACAGCCCTCTATAGGGAAATTTTGAAATGTTTATTGTTTTATTGTGTTTTTATATATGTTGGAAGCCTCCCAGAGTGGCTGGGGCAACCCAGTCAGATAGGTGGAGTATAAATAGTATTACAACAACAACAACAACAGCAGAAGAAGAAGGAGGAGGAGGAGGAGGAGGAGGAGGAGGACATCCCTGTTTTCATTGGAAAAATATGCCTACACTGGTGTCTTTTCCAAGCTACGACTGGTTTGCCACTTTCTGGACAGAGACAGCCTGGCCATGATAATCCACACTTTGATAACTTCGTGTTTGAATTATTGCAAAGCACTCTAAGTTGGGCTGCCATCGATGACAGCTTGGTTTTTAAATGAAGTAGCTGGTCTGAGCCATGTTACATCTTTATTTCAAAATATTTCTGTTCCGTTCAATTAAAAAGCAGCTTTTAAAGCTCATTTGAACACAACCAGAGAGGGAGCCACAGCCAGATACACATCCTACAGGAGGGAGTTCAACAGTGACTGGGCCACCATGGAAAAGCCCCTGTCTCTTGTGCCTGCTAATCCCTGCAGCTGATCTCAAGGCCTCAGCAGATTCATACAGGCGCAAGTGCTCCTTCAGATAACCTGTTTCCAAACCCTTTAGGGTTTCAAAAGCAGTCTCTAGCACTTTAAATTGGGCCCCAAAACATACTAGCAACCGGTACAGGTGATATGCTCTGACTTGGGTCCCACAAGAAATCTGATGTCTGCATCCTGCAGCAGCTGATGTTTCATCTTGGTTCTGTGACTTGATCTTGGGTTTATGAATTGGGGAAGACTAGGACCGAAATGATCCTGGGACATTTAGTTTCTCTGCACTAAGCCTACACAGAACACTGACAGGAAGTTTGCAGGATTCTCTTCCATTCTACGATTACTGTCTGCCAGATGATCATGCGTTTGCTGTGAAAATAAGAACCATATTATGTAAATGTGATCACATGTTGGTTCATTTAATTTACCGTTACCATCAGAATAGCACATTTAACTCGAGGGAATGCAGTCCTCAACAAGGGAGTGAATTAACTGCCCGCAAATTGTTCTCTAACTACGAAGTTTTCCAAGAGAGGTCTCTAAGGTATATCTGTACCAAGGGCATGGTATTAGAACTCTAATACCACATGTTTCCATTTGAACAGATGGAAGGGGAAAGCTTCCCTGCAATGTGTTATTACTTAAAGAAGGAGGGGGGACTCTTCCTGATATAGATCAAGGGTGCTGTTTAAATTTACTTAGACGAATGATGGTTTTGCAATCCATTCATGCTTGCAAGAGTAATTACTTCATAATTAGTTGTAAGTGGCCAGAAAGCTAAAAGGCTCGTTTGCTTTTGTGGTCCAGAAAGTAGAATTCATCCAATATTCAAATCTTTTATTTAACTTGTTAAAAGATGTATCTATCTAATGCCAGCTGCTGGTCAACTGATATACAGTCATACCTCGGAAGCTGAACGGAATCCATTCCGGAAGTCCGTTCGACTTCCAAAACGTTCGACAACCAAGGCTTCCAATTGGCTGCAGGAGCTTCCTGCATGCAATCGGAAACTGCAGAAGTCATGTCGGATGTTCGGCTTCCAAAGAACATTTGCAAACTGGAACACTCATTTCCAGGTTTGCGGCGTTCGAGAGCCAAAATGTACGAGTGCCAAGGCGTTCAGCTTCCAAGGTACGACTGTATCAGCATTTCCTAGATCAGAGTATAGATATCACACTCGGCGTTATTGATGGACTGTGCAATCCTATTGATGTTTAGCCAATTGGAGGTTTCATTACAATCAAGCAGTATATAAATTTTGTTAAATAAAAGTAAGAGTTCGGCTGTGCCTAGTCCCAGAAAATCAATCAAATTAGCAGTTAAAGGCTCATCTACCAGATTCACAATTCCAAAACAATACACAGACCAATACACAGACCTTATCTGAATTTGCAGTGGAGTTCTTGAAACAATGTTTCCAAAAAATGCATATGTTAGGGGAAAGTGTGCATGAAAATGAATATATTAGGGAAAATAGCATGCAAAATGTATTATGCAGTGGATGCTCGGACTGCAAACGTGATCCGTGCAGGAGGCACATTCGCAACCCGCAGTGCTGCGTCTGTGCATGCGCAGGTCACAATTTGGGAGTTCTGCGCATGCGCAAAGTGCGATTTAGCGCTTCTGCGTATGCGCAAAGTGTGATTTAGTGCTTCTGCGCATGCACGAGCACTGAAACCTGGAAGTAAACCGTTCCGGTACTTCCAGGTTTGGTGCGATGTGCAACTCGAAAACACACAACCTGAAGCATCTGTAACCCGAGGTATGACTGTATTAGGGAAAATTGCTTGCAAAGCTATACATTAGTCAAAACTACAGAATGGTTGGCTGGCAATCATTTGTCTTGGGAAACTATGGAGGAGTGTGCCTTCGGGAGTGAAGTCGGCAGGGGTGTAGGAAAGGGGGTGCAGGGGTGCGGTTTGCCCCGGGTGTCATTCTTGGCGTGTGTGTGACAAAATAATAATAATAATAATAATAATAATAATAATAATAATAATAATAAAATTTTATTTATATCCCGCCATCCCCAGCCGAAACCGGGCTTAGGGTGACTAACAACAATAAAATAATACAACATTCTAAAATCATTTCATTATAAAATTAATTCAAACCAAATTGAAGGCAACCATTCTGTGAATTGCCAAAGGAGGGAGTCAGGCTGTGCCTTGGCCAAAGGCTTAGTGGAACAGCTCTGTCTTGCAGGCCCTGTGGAAAGATGTCACTGCAGGGACACTGCAGGGGGTGGCACTTCCCGCAGGGCCTGGCCTGCAGTGCGCCCGAGCCATGCGTCTCTCCTGGGAGTGACACAGTGGCTTGGGGCTCCACGCTGCCTGAAATGGATCGCAGTGGCACCCCTGTTGATGGATCTCCATGATGCCCCCATGGGCGGATCGCCCCGCCCTTGCCCCTCTGGGTGCCAGAGCAGCGAGTTACGCCCCTGACTGTCAGAGAGTTACGGCACCTGCTGTGACTGTAAGGACCAATGCGGGAGAGACATGTTTTGTTGCAGCTGGGGCAGATAAAGGAGCCCCGGTTGCGCTGATGCAGTTGTGCCATGGCGTTTCTTCTTTCTGCGCTCCTCCCTGTTGTCATTCCTCCTCTGGTCACTGCTGTGGATACACAACTGCATTGATTATCACCAGGCACTGTGGCCACCTGCAACGGATTCCCGCACAGTGGGATTATTGCCGTCAGCCTTCCTGTCACACTTGCAGGCATCTTCGTGCCCCAAAACCCACCCCCCATGGAAATAAAGACACAGTGGAGACAGAATTTAATTTAAATGTTAATGGGCAAATTTTGGCCACAACGTTATTAAAATACACAAATGTGACTGGTATTGGTTTAGGCATTGGTATCAAACTATATCTGGCACCTGCCCCACCCTGCAGGAAGCCTGGAAGGGTAAACAACCAGCAGGGGGAGCTCCATCAATGTATATAGACTGGTGCTCATGTCTGGGGTTCCCGGGGGTGCTGGTATGGCCCTAGCTCCTCTCCGGGCTTCGGACGAGATTCAGACCCCCGGATTTCTTTAACGGAATACCCTATTCATTGGAGGGGCAGGTGATGGCCGCACCTCCCCTCCCCACATTCCCCTAAACCAATGCCTAACCGCCAAACCTTACAAAGTTGTGACGATTGCTAAGAGGTAGGCAAAAACCAAGTGGCCACAGCCAATCTGCCACATTGGGAAAAATTCCTACCTGGTCCCCATTCCAGTGACCAACCGAAGTCCAAAGCAAGGCCAAACATGACGTAATTAACGGGTGGGTGGGCAGGTGTTCGGCAGCGCGAGGCAAAAGGAGGTCCCTATGTCGTGCTGCCAAATAAAGACCCCCAACCTTGCCACGCTGCTGATTGGCTAAAGGCCATTGGCATAACTGTGGCACCACCGGCTTGGAGTGGGGCAAGCCCTGCCCACAAGCCAGTTAGGGAAGAATTTCAGGGCTGAGCACAACATGGACCCTCTGTTAGGAGGATCCAACTTGTAACACAGCGTTGGTCTGCCAATAGGCCTGGTGCCTGAAGCCAGCTCCCCATAGATCACAACCCTGGGTATCCTGCCACCTTCCATTCTGTGTACTTGACCAAGCCTGCAATATCAAAAGCAACACGATGGCCAGAAACAATTACAATGTAAAAGACTTTATGGACTAATTCAAAACATCAAAACCAACAAACTGAAGTCTCTGAATGTCTCTGAAAGTCCTTAAATGAATCACGGTGCCAGACTTTACCCAGCAGAGAAAGCTGTGAAGCTTTGTATAATCAGCAAATGTCCGATTCTGATGTCCAGTTCTGAACTCTGCTGAACAGTGTTTCCAGATAACAACTATTGCTTCGTTGAATTCTTCATCAGCCAATTAGTTCAACACTTGTGAGTAGAAAGATATGTAGCTTCTTCATTAACTGAAAATAAAATATTCAAATGATGACCTGCACATGCATAACAACAACTTCAAATAGCGTAGAAATTATAAACTGTAATATAAAAAAGTTACATACCCAATCTTTTTTCGAATAGATATAATATACATGAGAATGAAAAATACTCTGGAACAGTGCTCATGCGATGTAGTCACAGTTACTAACAACATTTTTTTGAAAAATATATATAGCCAACCCCAGGTGATACTAATAACAAGGAGACCGAGTTGAAAGACACAGTACAAAGTAACAGCAAAGATACAGATAATCAAATAAAACAATTGAGGTCTAATTCAGAGTTAAGTACCCCTGGATGAATAGTTTTAAACATAAAAATAAATACTTGACCAAGCCAGCATAGACATCGCTGAGACAGGAGGGCAAACATGGACTTGGAAGAGCACTTCTTTGTTTGAGACTGCCCTGCCATACGATGCCCAAAATCTTCCTCTCCCAGCGCATGTGGAAGGTGTTGAGGAGTTGCTCAGGGCGGGTGTAAGTTGCCCATGACACCTTGGCATTAACGGATCCATCCCTAATGTAAAGTAAGTGTGCATAGAATTGCAGGCTTAAGGTTATGTCCAGTAGCATCCATCATTTGTGGGCTTTTGAAGGCGATTTCATCCACCCTGCCCTTTTGATTTTCATTGTGATGGAGAGGATGCCACGGTGGTGGCTGAGAATGTATGAAAATCACCTCCTCTGTTTCATTAGTCAAGGCCTCTGCTGGATCAACCCCCCTTCTTCAAATGGAAGGACACCATTGGGTTCAACCTTCAGTGTTCTAGGACTCAACAAGCTCTTGCTCTGAGAGGGGAATGGTTTATTCTTTGAGAGAGAGAGAGAGAGAGAGAGGGAGAGAATGTTGTACAGTGGTTTGTGTAGGACCGGTAGGGGATTATATCAATGGTCACATTCTGCCGGGGACAATTTATTGGAGGCATATAGCAAAGGTGGGTGGGACTAAAGCCAAAGGTGGCAACCATAGCTCAGTTGGTTAGAACTTGGTGTTGATAATGCCCAGGTTGCAGGTTCGATTCCCACATGGGGCAGCTACATATTCCTGCCTTGCAGGGGGTTAGACTTGATGATCCCCAGGGTCCTTTCCAACTCTACAGTTCTGTGATTCATTTCCACCATTCCTCATCTTTCTCCTCTTATTTTCCTCTCTCTCTCCTCCCCCTTCTCTCTCCCTCTCATCTGTTTCTCCTCTTCCTTCTCTTCTTCCTCCCATCACACCCACTGTTAGAGTGTCTGACTAAGACTAGGGAGTCCTCGATTCAGATTCCCTCTCAGCCCTAAAGCTCACTGCTGGGTGACTTAGGGACAATGACTGACAGCATTGCTTTGAGAATAAAATGAGGAAAGGAAGACAGCTATGTACACTGCTCAGAGCTCCCTGGAGGAAGGCCGAGACAAAAATGTAATAAATAAATAAACTGTGAAGATAATATTAATCTCTGAGGAGTGAAAGCGAATAGTTTCCTTAGAAAACTCCCATATAACTAAACTGCAGCGGAGACCACCATTTATCTAGAGCCTTGCTTCGTAGCATAGTTAGCATACCAATTAATCCAGCCGTGGCACTTGCCAGCTATTCAAGCACATGAGTGTTCCTGGCCCCAGCTGCAGACATAGTTCCCCTAAGAGAAATATGAATTGTCTTGATCCTATATTACTTTTCATTCCAGAATTTAAACAGAGACATACTTAAACGTTTACTACAGAAAGTAACCGATAAAAGTACAAATTGCTAACATGAAATTGCTTTTTGTTAATTTTGAAGTTTTAATAGTTTCTATGAAGCACGGAGACATGCACATGACTCAGGCCTTAGCTTTTTTGACACATGTTGTCTAGTCTGAAAAGGGAATTAGCCCATCTCCCCTGTGAGATGTAGACATTTTTCTTTATTTCCCTCTTTCTTTCTTTTTGGGATGACACCACGCCACTTATAGCAAAAAGCAGACATGGGAAGCACTCACATGCCGTAACGTACCAAAAAGTCCTCAGCGTACCAAAAACATGCTATAGCTTCAGCTAAGCTTACTCCGCCTTGATTTAAAATGGATGTATGAAAATAACTTCCATTTGGCATATACAGTGGAACCTCAGTTTTTGAACGTCTCAACTGTCGAACGTTTCAGAAGCCAAATGGCGAAAACCTGGAAGAGAATGCTTCCGTTTTTGAATGTTTTTTGGAACTCAAATGGCTTCCAAGGTGCGTTTCTCTTTCACCCCCATTGAAATTGCTGAGAGCCCTTTGATTTTCAGTTTTCAAACATTTCAGAGTGGTAGTCTCGTAATCTGGGGAACCGGGTTCACTTCCCCGCTCCTCCACATGCAGCTGCTGGGTGACCTTGGGCTAGTCCCACTTCTCTGAAGTCTCTCAGCCTCACTCACCTCACAGAGTGTTTGTTGTGGGGGAGGAAGGGAAAGGAGAATGTTAGCCACTTTGAGACTCCTTCGGGTTGTGATAAAGTGGGATATCAAATCCAAACTCTTCTTCTTCTTCAGAAGTCGAACGGTCTTCCGGAATGGATTACGTTCGAAAACCAAGGTTCCATTGTATTTACAATCAGATTTTTAAAACTCTGTGATTTAGAATTCAAATATATGGTGCTTCCTGGCCAAATTCAGGTGAGTTACATTTCTAAGAGCAACTTGTACCTGGAATGTTGCTGTTACAGAATTCATTGTGTCTAAAAGAGAGAGGAAAAGAGCAGAAATGGAAGGAAGAGAGAGAGGGAGATATATGCTTTGCTGGCTGCTGATGCTACTGCTACTACCATCAGTACCTTACTGCATTACAAAGAAAATTTGGGACAAAACAAAGGGGCAACAGGGAGGGCTAGCAGTCAGTAGTAGTGGTTGTGAGCAAATCCTAATATGAGGTAGTACAAGTACAACCTCAGGTCTAGACTCACCTCATAGTCATACTTGGTGAGGCTTTTCCAGTTGGGAGGCTCAGATTCCTTTATTCACTATTTTTAAGTACATAAACTATCATAAAAATTTTAAGTACATAAACTATCATAAGATAGTTCTTAACTCTGCTAGTGAGTGTCAAGAGAAATGGAGCCAAAACAAGTTTGCAAGAGGGGAAGAATCAACATTCCCAGGGGAATACCAAGGTTTGCAGAAGATTGCCATAAAAAAAGAAACCTCAAGAGAACAACACCCCGCTTCCACACACACACACACACACACACACACACACACACGGAGAGAGGGAGAGAGGGAGAGGGAGAGAGAGAGAGAGAGAGAGAGAGAGAGAGAGAGAGAAACAAAACAACCCAATGAGAACTGAACATGCCCAGTCCAGTGCGATTTTTCTAGAAAATAGAATTGCCGGAACTCACCTTTATTCTCTTATAATGGCAATGTTGCCCACTTGGAACATGCCAGAACTGAGTTCCCGTGAGTTCCAGCTGAAAAAGTTCTCCCACCTCTGTTTTACATGGTCCTTTCTAGGTGCAAAAGCCCCCAGAATCTACAAATGTCTTTGCAGACTTTAGCCCACCAGTCCCATCAAAGCAAATGTTGCTCACTGCCAACAACGGATGTGCCTCACTGTGGCTAGGCAAAAGGGCATCTTACACATTTCATGGAACGTATTCAGGCTATGGATAAGCCTCTCTGAAATTCAAGGTTCTAGATTGCCTCAGCTCACTTTGAAGATAAAGGGCTAGACATCAGCAAGATTCGCTTCCAGCCTTCTTGACTTAAGATCAAGATCCAACACCAAGGCAACAGAAATGGCTTGCCCAGAGGCTCTGCTAAGAAAGCCAATATAGGGAGGATATGCTAGAGAGCTCTGTAGCTGTTACTATTAATGTTTTGTCTTCTCAACTAGCTGCATTTCAAAGATGCAGCCCTGCTTTCTAATAGTCACTGGGACGCGGGTGGCGCTGCGGGTTAAACCACAGAGCCTAGGACTTGCCAATTAGAAGGTTGGTGGTTCGAATCCCCACGACAGGGTGAGCTCCCGTTGCTTGGTCCCTGCTCCTGCCAACCTAGCAGTTTGAAAGCACATCAAAGTGCAAGTAGATAAATAGGTACCGCTCCGGCGGGAAGGTAAATGGCGTTTCCGTGCACTGCTCTGGTTCGCCAGAAGCGGCTTAGTCATGCTGGCCACATGACCCGGAAGCTGTACGCCGGCTCCCTCGGCCAATAAAGCGAGATGAGCGCCGCAACCCCAGAGTCGGCCACGACTGGACCTAATGGTCAGGGGTCCCTTTACCTTTACCTTTAAGAGCCATTGAGGCGGGACTGTGGAGCCGAACAGAAAAAGATTGTCCTGCTATGATCAACGGAGAAAGGCAGAGCAACATGAAAAAGGAATGGCATTTTTCATTTATAAAGCAGCTTTTGCAAACAGTTGCTTGCTGCTTCTTCCTGGCTGGTTTTCTCAATTGTTGGGGCCTTCCTTGTGTATGGGGCTTGTTATTTTTAGCAAAGTCAACAGTGACCCACGTAGCTGGGCATACTAGGTGGGCTTCCTTGATGCTATGTGGATCTCAGGGCAAGTGTGGATGTTATTCGGCTTACACAGCTGCAATGCCCAGGCACACTATTGCATGTGCTACCACAAAATGTTAAAACATCCAGAACTCAAACGTCCTTTTGTTCCTTTTCCTCCTTGTGTATGTTTTACTCAGTAGCTTTGTTTATTTTATTTTTTAAAATATTTCCTTTTTGTTTGCATTTCTTGGCAAAGGACTCTTGATGGCTCACACCCCTCCTCCTCCTTCTTCTTCTTCTTCTTCTTCTTCTTCTTCTTCTTCTTCTTCTTCTTCTTCTTCAAAATGTGAACTCTTCTTCTGGTCCCTCTGCCAGAAATATTGCTGTATAGCTTAACCACAAGTGAGTTCTGAGGACTTCCATTTCTCCATAGCTCCAGGGATGTTACTGTAGGGCCAAAAATAGTTTGATTGTTTGCATTCAGTTCTTAATCACTCTGCCTGGATGTCTTCCCAAAGAAGGAAACTATTTCTGCCCCACTCCACTTTCCTTATTCATACTTGCTGACACTATCCACTCCAGTACAGTTTGACTAAAGAGTATTGTTGAATGGTATGGTTGGAGATACAGTTGTAGTGAATATGAAAACGGTCCATTCATACACATGAAGCTTTCCCTCTTCTCTCCCACTCAGCTACATTAGTAAAAAAACAACAGTATTTTGAATGCGTTATAAACATGCAACACCAGATGGTGCTGGAGAGCAAGAAAATTCTTTGCGATTTTCAATAGCGTTTTTTTTATTTTGTTATAAGTATTTCGTTTTATACTTGTTTATAGCATTTTTTTCCCTGTGTGTGGATCCACCCTTACTCTTCTCCAAAGACAGTGTACAGTGAATTGTCTCATTTTATCCTCAACACCAACCTGCTTGTCCCTCGCTTTCCCTCTGAAATTCAGGCTTTACCACTGAATCTGAGCAGATGGCAAATGGGTTTTCCATTGATTCAGTGGTAAAGAGCGGGTTTTCCCTGGGAAAGCATGAGACAAGCAGAAAACTGCTCAGACCCGTGTTTTCTAGGTATGGGAGAAGCAGATGGGTAGCCAACAGTTAAAACATGTATATCCAGTGCTTTTTTTCTTAAAAAAAAATTCTTAAAAAAAAAAAAATTAGGGGTATTCTCATTTTCCGACTCATATTGAAATACTGCCCCTCAATGAGGCCAAAGTTAGATTCACAAAATCTTTAGGGGTATGCGTGCCCCTGCATACCCCCAGAAAAAAGCACTGCACATATCAGTCACAGTTACAGTCACATATACAGGGGTACCTTGGGATGGGAACGGGATCCATTCCGGAGCCCTGTTCGCATCCTGAATAGAATGTAAGACGCGACGGTGTGTTTGTGCATGCGCGGGTCGCATTTTGCTGCTTCCACACATGCGCGTGACGTCATTTTGAGCGTCTGCGCATGCGCAAGCGGTAAAACCTGGAAGTAACGCACTTTGTTATTTCCAGGTTGCTGCGGAGCGCAACCCGAAAGCACTCAACCTGAAGCACATTCAACCTGAGGTATGACTGTAGTTTAGCTTTA